CCGGGCCTGGGAGTTAGACATTTTCAAGCCAGAAAGCTGGGGTAGGGGGGAGGGGGAGCATTTTCTATGTTACAACGATATGAGACATGGTTCTTTTTTTTTGCAGTGTATCTGAAGTTGCTCTTATTATAGTTTTCTCTCTTCATTGCTTGCCTCAGAGCTCACTATCTAACCTGTTGGACTGAGGTGATGCTACATTTATTGTGCAAACAAAGTCTTAAAATGTGCTTGTAGGATGGGCTTTCCTTGGTGCCATGAGAAGCACATGTTTCAGACAGACATAGGAGCATGTCACCACCACTGCCAACCCAAAGCAGAAACACCTCAGTGGCACTCATATCTATTAGAAAGAAATGCTCGTTACTTTTGCTACTGAGAGCTCTGAGACTATCTATTATGCAGCAACAGGAAACTGCTGACCAATAGAGACAGCAGATCTGGCCCTTCTCTGAGCTTATTTTAGATCTCTTTGCAACTTTAGGTATTCCAGGCATTTTGACTTCCTTCTGTTACAGTTAAGCCCCTCTTGTACTGGGGAAATGGAACCAACTGTGGTCGAGGGTAGCCTAGGGTACGGGGCAAGTTTATATTAGTAGTTGGGGCAACGGGGAAAGTTGATATTAGTAGCCAGAGAAATGGGGCAAGTTGATTAATAATACCTTGGTAATGGGGCAGTATTGATTAATGTAGCCCTGGTAACTTTGTGTCTGTATCCCAGGTAACTTTGTGTGTGTTTAGCCAACCGTGATATGGTTTTGGGGAATAAAAGGCTGGCCTGGAACCAGGGTTGACGCTGTCATGGGAGAACACACCTGCGGCAGCCACTGGCCAGCTTTTCAATAAATCCTCACTTGCTGCTTAAGACCTAATTGGACTTGGTGGTCTTACTCTGACGAACATTGGTCCATAACACTTCATGTCTTCAAACACTAACTTTATTCTTACTTCATAGCTCGTGGACAAGCTGCCCACTCTGCCTGGACCCTGCTTTCGCCTGGATTGCCTTGCCTTCTTGTCATCTCCCAGGTTTCAGCTTAACTATTCTGCACTTAGAGGGACATTCTCAAACCACAGCACCTAAACATAGCCCTCCTCACCTCTGCTCTGTACGTCTCTGTCACACATATTCCTGTGTTTATCACAATTCATAATTATCTATTTGCTTTGTCATTTATTATCTTTATAGCTAGTCTCTGAGATTAAAGAATATATGGAAGTTTTCTTCAGTATAACTACAGTCAACCCCAGAGTGACTGTTCAACTTATATGAGAGAATCAACTCTGAGGAATGGTTTCATCCATTTATCATACCCCAGCCTGCCGGAAGCCTATTCCAGCATGTCATAATTGCAAGAGTTTCATCAAAAGGTTGACGGAACTTGGGGACTCAACAAGGGCTGAGTCACATATGTTGTCACCTGTTGGGAATGGCTGAGGGCATTCCCCCAAACCTGAAAAGGATACATAAATGATTGCTTGCTGCCAGACAGCTCAGGGCATCTTTTTTTTTAAAACTACATTTTATTGATTTTTTACAGAGAGGAAGGGAGAGGGATAGAGAGTTAAAAACATCAATGAGAGAGAAACATCGATCAGCCACCTCCTGCACATGCCCCACTGGGAATGTGTCCGCAACATGGTACATGCCCTTGACCAGAATCGAACCTGGGACCCTTCAGTCCTCAGGCTGACGCTCTATCCACTGAGACAAACCAGCCTGGGCAGCTCAGGGCATCTTAATCTACATGTTATTGCCTTCTACTGGCCAAAGACCTGAACAGACGTAGGCAAATTCTTGCAATCTGACAATGGATTCTGTACCTAACCTTACCCTTTGAAGTATATATCTCTACCATGCCTTAGGACAAATTGTGTTAATAAAAAGCAAGGGGTCCTGAGATGCAAAAAAAACTTAGTTCCTTTAGCTAAGTCCTCTCTGGCTTCCTATAATGCCTTTCAAAATTATGTTTCGTCTCTGGACTCTTATTTAATTTATGCACAGCACCTTCTCCAGATTTCTGAACACTTCTAGATACCAGATCAAGACCACGGCCACCAACCCACCAAGGCAACTGCAAGAATACCACACTCAATTAACAAACTCACAGATAATAAAATGTTTCCTGATTTGCCAGAAGCTGATCCATCCTTGCTGCTTGACACAGTCCCTGCAGGAAAGAAACTTCTGCACAGCATATGTTTCAAGGGACCTGGCGTATATGGCATACTGTTCTTAATATGTTTGCTCCCCTTAGAGCTATGTGTTTTAACGGTTCCTGGCTAGAGATCCTGGCAAGGCTGCTGATCAACTGAACGCTGTCTCCATGTCATTCCTTCTTCACCGACTCCGTCCACACCGTTGGGGACCCCTGGACCTGTTGGGGCTGGACCCCAGCACTGTTTGAATAGACACCTTTTTTTTTTCTTTTGAACATTCTAAAAAATTTTTTTAAAGTTTAATATATGAAATAAGCATGTCTGATATGCTGATAATTTCATGTCAGAGCTCTGAAGGATAGTCAGATGTTTTAGGCTTTTTGTTTGTTTGTTTTTCCCACCACACTTTTTGTAGAACCTATAATTTAATGTTTTTTAGGTCACTGATTAAGAAAATAAAGATTTGATAGTGGGAATATATTTATATTCATCAAATTCTGGTTACAACTGGTACATTCAAGCAACAATTTCATTTTTTCCCATTTTGACACTTCACTCTATGGTTTTCTGATGTAACTGGGCAGCAAACATCATCTTATGATTTGTTTCTTCCAAACCATTTGGCTTTAATAGTATATTCAAAAGTGCAAAAAAGACTATTTTTTTCTTTCACATTTTTATCCCATTTTTCTTTCAGTCAATATCTAAAGTATTTGCTAGATAAGAGCTGTATTCTTACAAAGTATATAGGTATATAAATACATATAACATCTACAAGTATTTTGTAGTCTAACAAAGAATTATACTTAAAGATCAGCCAATTTTTATGCATTTATCATCAGTCCAATTTTATTCAAAGCTTTGAGTATGCTTTTTATATCTAGAATTTTTTAGGAGTTATTTTCCTCTTTGAATCAGCTTCTATAAGAAAGGAAAAAATAAGCTCCAACTTTCAGATTATAAGATGTCACAAACTACACAATAACGAGAATGCATTAGCTATTCTGTAATTTATATTCGAAATTGGAGAGATAATGTGCAAACACTTCATAAAAAATCCTGAGCTAAAAGAAATGTTTGTCAAATTTTTCTCTCACTTTTTTTTTCCTGTGGAATGCAGATGTTCATATTTAAATTTGTCACATTTTTATAGTTCTTTCTCTTTTTATAGTTCTTTTTAACTACTTTCCTCCTTTGATTTTTCCCCCAAATACAGAACAAAAAGCAAGAAAATTAAAATTCATAGCTATGAAATAAATTTTACAAATAAACTTTTTATTTTCTCTCTGTCTTTTTTTATGTTTTCCAAAGTTCTGCTTCCCAATATGTTTTAATATAAGTTTAGTTTATATTGCTGAGGAACTCTGCGGAAGATAATGTAGTACTTTGCAAATCAACATGCCACTAATTGCTTTAAATCTGATTGGGTATGGTATTTAACCCGTATGCTATGATATGGATTCTTATAGTAGCCAGGAGGCTGACAATTGGCCTTTTAATGGTATGGGAGAAGAAAGCAAAGGTACCGCTTAAGAAACTGCATGTAAGATCTAATTTTTATCTGCCCTTGATTAGTAGTAACAACAACAAAAACCTATAACTATTGAAATTTAAAGATGATCCAAATCTTTATTCTAGTTTCCAAATCCCATTTTCACATTCACTTAACTGTTTCCTAGCATATATTAAAACTTCTCCCCCTTTCTATTTTTTTTTCCAGTTTATGAGCATATTACTACCTTCATAGAGTCAAAAAAAAAAAAGAAAATTTAAAAGAGAGGTGATATGAGTTAGTGCTCAATAACCAAAAAGATGCTACCACAAAGTATTGGTATAATCCATGAAAAAAATAAACAGAGTGGGGTGAGTCTTCATTGCAGTGATGATGTAGTATGGAGGAGTGGGAAGCAAAGAAGGGGAAAAAGTAGTGAAAATTGAGACATGGAAACAAACATTCAGATTGAGGTGTGGAATTCACAGGAACTGATAGGAATCAGGACTTCTGTTTTTTGCTGTTCATAAAAAGTGAATTTTCACTAAAAATGATGCTGTTAGGATAAGTGTTCTCTCTCAGTTTGATAGACACTGACACTTTTTAACCTTGCCCTTCTCCACTATCTATGTATA